ATTAGAAAATCACGTAGTGTGGTAAGAGTGTGTATTCGACACAGTACGTTAAAATATCACGTAGTATGGTAATAGTAGAGTGTGTATTCGACACAGTGCGTTAAAATATTACGTATTATGATAATAGTAGAGTGTGTCTTCTACACAGTACGTTAGAAAACCACGTAGTATGATAATAGTAGATTGTGTATTCGACACAGTACGTTAGAAAATCGCGTAGTATGGTAATAGTAGAGTGTGTATTCGACGCAGTACGTTAGCAAACCACGTAGTATGGTAATAGTAGAGTGAGTAGAGTGTGTATTCCACACAGTACATTAGAAAATCACGTAGTATGGTAATAGTAGAGTGTGTATTCAACACAGTACGTTAGAAAATCACGAAGTATGGTAATAGTAGAGTGCGTATTCGACACAGTGCGTTAAAATATTACGTAGTATGATAATAGTAGAGTGTGTTATCGACACATTACGTTGGAAAATCACGTAGTATGGTAATAGTAGAGTATGTATTCGACACAGTACGTTAGAAATCACGTTGTATGGTAATAGTAGAGTGTGCATTCGACACAGTACGTTAGAAATCACGTAGTATGGTAATAGTAGAGTGTGTATTCGACACAGTCCGTTAGAAAATCGCGTAGTATGGTAATAGTAGAGTGTGTATTCGACACAGTACGTTAGAAAATCGCGTAGTATGGTAATAGTAGAGTGTGTATTCGACACAGTACGTTAGAAATCACGTAGTATGGTAATAGTAGAGTGTGTATTCGACACAGTCCGTTAGAAAATCGCGTAGTATGGTAATAGTAGAGTGTGTATTCGACACAGTACGTTAGAAAATCACGTAGTATGGCAATAGTAGAGTGTGTATTCGACACTGCGTTAGAATATCACACAGACTATTATGTAATGATTGCTATAAACTAAGAAATGACGGCTGTTAAAATTCAATGCAAATATTGCAAAATGATAAATACGCGCATGTGTGTTCGTTTTACAAATACCGAATTCAACAGCATATGTTCATGAGAATAGTGGACCGGGAACATCTTATCAAAGTTTAAATATATATACAATAACTCATTCAAGTAGTATAGATATTAATCTTATTAATAACAACAATAGTCAGTACAGTTCCTGCTATTCACAGCAAATAAAGGAAAGCCAAATGTTTTCACAGGTTATACGATAAAATTAGTATGATAACGGACGACCCCCATACTGCATACCCCAACCAGCAAATCGTGTGGGATTATTTCAATGCTTACTTTGCTGCTGTAGATGGACTTGTGTTCTACGCAGATGTATTTAAGGATTACTTCCGTCAAGGTCTGCAACAATTTTATGACGATGGAATACAGTTTATGGAAGTGAGGGCGCTATTGCAACCTGTGAGTTTATATTCCACTCGCTATTAAACTTTCCCACTTTACATATACCAGTATGCGAACAAGCCAAAACATTAAATGTGTTCAAATTACGTTATTATAGCTAAAGCATATGACATATTAATAGCAGAATAAACACACCTATAGTGTATGTGATCTTTAATAACAGTGACAGTATCCTATCGTTTGCAGAACTAGCCTGGCTTAAGAGACAAGCTTAAATTATTTGTTTCCATTACCTAACCACAATCTTAACATTTGATGGTGTATATATTGGTCAGTAGATAGTAGGTATGCAAAGTTAAGAGTCTGTCACAGGTCCACCCAATCTGATTAAAATATATGTATATTTATTTTATTTTTGAAGTTTTGGTAATTGCGAAAGCCAACAAGGATCTGACCCAATGCCTAAATGCTATGTAAATCCCATTCAAATCTCGCGTAAGTAAATAACAGCCCCCTTTTATACAGGCTGTCGGTTGCTTAGTTTTCAGTGTATTCATTAATAGAAAATTACCAGTATAGTTTTATTTACAAAAGAGATTCCACAGCATTTTACATGCATCTTCGCCAGCCAAGGTTCGTTTATTCAGTCATCGCTTTAATCAAACAGTATTTTTACACTGAGCATAATTATCTAGAATGAAAGCAAAAATAAGTAAATCGTAATTATTAGAACACTGTTAACAGCTATAGTAAACAATGCAAACTGATTTTAAATTGTATAACGGTCACCGGCCCACGGCTTCTACACAGAAAATTGGAGCAACAAAATATTTCCTGATCAATTGCGTGTTTCAAATAAAAAAATATTTTATTCCAGTCTAAAACAGCTCAATTACTTTAATACAGAGTTATTGTATAATGTACAAAATGTTGACACATTTTGATGAATATTTACAGTTACGGTTTCAATACCGTAGACAATTTTGGGCCGATTGTCAACAAAACATCACCCGTCTCCAGGGCAAGGAAAAAGATTCTTGTGTTCGGTCGAACCGGTGGAAAAAATCGTCACTCCCGGAATAACTACGCAAAATAACGAGCTAAACCGGAACCATTCAAGCCACAATATAAACATAAAAAATAAAAGATGCTTTCGTGGCATTTGACAATGATCAACTTACCAAAACGCCGTGTTTTCTCGATCGTTCCGTCGCTACCGTCGGTATAATCCGACATTTTATTTGAGTGTGTTGGCGACTGACTCTGCCTGGTGACGTCATCAGGTGCGCTATAGACCTCCTGTCTGTGATTCGTTGACTAAATTCGTCGATAGTGGGTCTCGTTGAAATCTCGTTAGATAGGCAGGTGCTCAGACGTATGTAGGGCGGAATTAAAAAAATCACAAAATCAAAATCAAAGTAAAATAATGAAATAAAAAGGCATTAATAACAAAAGTAATAACAAATAAAATAAAAATAAGTTTATAGCCCAAATAATTAAAACCTGTACACTACATTTTAATCAGATTGAGGTCCACCATTAAAAAGACATTTTAGAAGTGCACGCACACAAAAACAAAACAAAACATTGGGCCACTCAGACTAAAAGAAAATGCAATAAAACAACATGTTTCCAATGAAGTTGTGTAGAATTTTATAGAAGAGATTCGGGTGTATAGAGATAACGGAGGCGAGATAACATTGGCTTGAGGAAGTAACGAGGTTTATTATACTAACATAACACAGCATCTGACAAGTACAAGGACAATTTTTCAATTTATAAGGGAATGGTGCATTCTTGAATTTAGGCGGGAAGAGGATATATTACATGTGTGTAATAGGCCAATAAGGAGGGGATTTGATTGGCTAAAATATATACGTTGTGATAGGCTGAATCTTTGAATTTCGTAGGTAGAATCCAAAAGCTGCATTAAGCTAGAGTGCTTATAATGATTCCCGATAGAAGTCAACAATTGACCATAGCTCCAATAAATGTGTTTTACACAACGTCAGCATATTCCGTGCAAAATTCAAGCATCCGTGTTACCCAAGTACGTAGTGTGATGGAATACGGTTCTGTTATTCGGCGTAAATCTGATTGTCTGCTATGATGTAAAATAGTATGAATTTATTGACCTATAACGCATACTGTCGATAAAAAGCATAATAAAACACCAAACAATATTTGTCTTATCTCTCTAAACTGAGCTGTACCGCCAACCGGATAACATCCAAGATACCATTCAATATCTTTACAATTATTGTTTTTTCCAGACATATGAATTGGATGGTACAACATATAACAGTGAACATACGTTATTAGAATATGAGGCTGTCAACACTGAGTGGTTAAACGATCATCAACACGACTCAATGGGATCTAGAATTATATTCACTTCTATTAGGTACATACAATGTGTTTATCTCAAACAATAATACGTACGATTGTATGTGTTTTAGTATGAGTCTAGTATTATTGCTTGTGTGTAGTTCTATATGTAAAATACAATTTGGTGGGTGACACATTCATTCCACACACTGACTCGGAGAATGCAATAATGCCAATGACATCTTGAGTATTACCAAGCTTGTTTTAGCAATGTGTATAGTTAAACCATTGCTCAGTTCGTTCAATGTTCGCGTCCTATGACTGGTGTTCCCTATGTATCCCAGTTTGCACCATTACATACTGAAGGTTGGAATCACACACTAGGCAAATTATTTCACTAACCATTTATATATGTTCTAGCAAGTTTATAGATATGAATATCTCACGAAACACAATACTCTATGGGTACTAGTGCAATATTAACTATTTTTCACAAACACCGCCACCTAGATATGGTTCCATAGCTCTTCTTGTGTACATCTTTAGTGATTGTGATGATATTTTAGTCATGTCTATTGTATTTTGTGTCATTATATTTATTATTTCAGATATTAGGATTTTTATCGACACAGAACAGCTATGGTTTCTCTCATAGATCTGCGTAACACAAACGTGAGACGCCAAATATATTTTGTTCGGTCACGGGGTTTGAATGACAACTTTGATCATATAGTTAGACGATATTGAGCAGCATATGTTTCTGCTTTAAAAATAAATGAATTTCTGCGCAGAAGGAAAATCAAACAAAACTCATGGGGAGTTGCGAAATTCGATGTCAGAAAGGCATGCTATGGACTGCTTTCAAATTCCAATCTCTAGTCGAAATTTTATATATAAATTTGTAAATATATTTTGTCATTAAAAAAAAACATTTTTATGAGGAGCATCCTAAAATGTTTTTATATTTTCACTCAGGGTATCTGGCAATAAAGAAACATAGAGATTCACATTGCAAGCACAATCAAAATCAAACAAGCAACAATTACTTATTTCCTGCCACTTTACATTCCATACAAAATTAGCAGCACTGTGCCATCTACAGAATCACTTTCTTGTCACTGTACATGCCATCTACAGAATCACTTTCTTGTCACAGTACATGCCATCTACAGAATAACTTTTTTGTCACTGTATATATGCCATCTACAGAATCAATTTCTTGTCACTGTACATGCCAATACAGAATAACTTTCTTGTCACTGTACATGCCATCTACAGAATCACTTTCTTGTCACTACATGCCATCAACAGAATAACTTTCTTGTTACTACATGCCATCTATAGAATCACCCTTTTGTCACTGCATATGCCATCTACAGAATAACTTTCTTGTCACAGTACATGCCATCTACAGAATCACTTTCTTGTCACTGCACATGCCATCTACAGAAACACTTTTTGGTCACAGTAA